ACCGTTCTCGGTACAAGTACAACTACAGATACTTTTCGAGCTCCAAGACTAGACTAGAGAAACATTCAAAAGTTAGGAGGCAGCTGTACTTACAGATACAAGTACCATTACATTTTTTGTTTATTGTCATGTGACAGTTTTTCTAAAACAATATCGACTAATGATTTCATGACAGTGGTGGAGCGCCAGAGCTAGGCCCCAACTGCAACCGCTGCAACCCTGGTAGTTCTCATGAAAATGCCAAGTATCGGCACTTGTATCTGAACTGGTATCTGTGCATCCCTAGATGGAATTATATGAATAATTGCATAGTACTAATAGAGTCATGTATTTTCACTTTATTATTTTACAATTGTTTCTGTTGTGCTGCATTAATTACACCAACAGATCCATGTCCATATGAAAAAGTAGCTTTTAAAATACACAAACTGCATGACCCTAACTGATATACTGCATAAGCTATTAGAAGTCTGTTTCATTTTCCTAGAAAGACAGAATTTGTACTGAAAAATGTTAGACTTGAACTGTGTAATCCAAACTGCACAGGAAATAAGTTATCAAAACACTTAATTAGAAGTAAAGTATTGCGTAATGTTTATAAATATATTTGTACATCAGTGAACAACTTTATGCAATCAAGATTGCATAACGTTCACTGATTCATAACTTGGATTTATGAACATGAAAATGTTACTTCTTATTGCAATTTTAGCCTAAACAATTTGAAATATATTTGGCTTGTACAATAAGCGGGAGTCAAACAATTAAATAACTTTACAACCTAAATGAAAAAAGTGGAAGGTTACTTCATTCCTTTCACTGTACACAGCAGCTAGGAACCCATCACTTGGTCTTGCATATATCAGAATATTCCAGGTAAAGCCCAACTCCAACTTGGGCCACCCTTCCATTTTTTACCCTTTAGCACCCCTTTGCCCACTTCCATTTTTCCGGAGGTCTTCAGTCTGGTTGCATGACATCTTGGGTCCTTTTCCTTCTCTTCTTTCTCAGGCAGCATGTGGTTCTTGAATCCCATAGCTCAGGGTAATGACATTGTACCATTCTCTTCCAGCATGTAATCCCAGGGCTGTTTGATGACAGGTTCCCCAAGTGTTGGGTCTTTCATGTCCTGGGCTCACAAGAAGTGGGCTGAATAACACTGAGAGTCATTCTTTCTGAAGGAGGACTAATGCAGAGTAGTGAGTTTGTGGAGGACATTGCTGGAAATAGGGTGGAATTTACCGTGAAAGCTGCATTTGAATTCATACAGGGTAATAGATTTTTAATATTTTGAATGAAGCTGGAGTACAGCTTTTAAGAAGGCCATGCATTTTGGGACTACTGTATGTTTCTAACACCTCAATGTAAAAATAAAAACTCTTTTTTTTCGTGTCAAGGACTATTTCCTATGAGCTTCATAATATTATCATTTCCCTATTTGGTGGATGGTGATATCTCAAAACTATGTGCCACTGCTCTCCTGTACATTGACCCTCATTCAGTACCACAGCAGCTAGTCACTAACAGTAGAGCAGTAACAAGTTAATTACAGCAAACATTGGTTATACAAATACAGCTTTAGTACATCTGTCAGTTCTGTTTAGATGGAACATATAGTTAAAATAATTGACAAAAATGGTTGGTAAAAGCAATGCTGAGGAAATAAGGTGCTAGTAAGTTCATGCTCCTTATGGACTTAAAACAAACCTGTCATTCCTCTTAAACATTTATATACCTTATTAGTTAGCCAGGTAAGCCCTTTTATTTAGTTTCACTTATTATTGGCTTAACCTCTCTAAAGTCTGGACAAAGCACTGCCCAGCTATCTTTTAGTTGTCATTAAAACAGAAGTCTGGGTAAATATAAAAATCCATTTGATACAGTGATTTATTTATTCAAATAATTCAATGTAATTTAACATTCCACACAAATAGAGTGCACAGGGGAGCGCACAAAGCATCGAGGTGCTACTGCTCTTTTATTGCCCAATCACAAGCCCAGGGAGGATAGTTAACTAAGGAAGAACTTCAGAAGCCATTTTGTTCTATGGTCCCAGATTATATGGGTGACTACCATTACCATGAATCACCATGACAGTGAACCACACACTCTGAAAAATAAATTGAGGATCCTGAGGATGGTGTTCATCCCCTTTGAGTGGTGATCTTAAAAAAGCAAAGAAAGATATTATAGTGCACCAATAAAAAGATTTAGAAGACTGCATGAGACATAATAATATCAGACTGCTTTTCAGGATGGGTGAGAGGATGCACAGCCAGAGCAATTCTTAGAACCTTACTCAAAAATAATATTGGTTGATGACACATATCCTCTCGGCTTGTCATCAAATAAGCCCCATACAGTTCCTTTTACGAATGTGTCAGGTTTGGCTTTTTTTTCTCATCTTTTTGTGTGTCATACCATTACAAACAAAATAAATAAACATGAGCATGCCTAAACATTTGTAATTGCAACCATTTTTTGTGCGAAGTGGTGCATTATCTGACAAATGTTTGTAGATTATCATTGCTAAACATTTCTAAAGGTGCCTTTGTTGTTATTTTGAAGATATAGGTAAAGGTCTGCTTTAAGGCCTACAAGTACATCTACATACATACTTCACGTTGGCCTTAAAGCGGACCTTTACCCATATCTTCGAAATAACAACAAAGGCACCTTTAGAAATGTTTAGCAATGATAATCTACAAACAGATACTTCTAGATATTTGCCAGCTTTTTATTCTTTGCATACCTTATGTTTCTTTTCCTCTTCATTCTTCTGACAGTGGCCATTTTTACTAAGGGCAAATTTATCCATCTCCCTTAACTTCTTGGAACTCTAGCACATGTGACTAGAACATGGGTTATGTTATGGGTTATATGTGGCATTATTATATTTGGTAGTTAAAATGTAAAGTGGAAGCATTGAAATTGTTTCTCCTGGTTGTTGCCTCTAAAACCATACTGGGTATCATAAACCTAGCTCCTTTCAAGATGTCAAGGACAGATTAGGGCTGATCATCTCAATGTGCTGCTATAGGATTACATAGACATGCTATATTTTCAGTAACATGCTAATATTATTATGATTGAAGGTCATTTTTGTATACCATGATAGATATAATACATGAACTGTTAGCATTATGAATTCTTGCCACACACCAACATATAAGACGCCTTGGGGATGATTTGTACAAAGCTGAAAAGAAAGATAACTAGAGATGTCAATCAAAACACTCTTAGCTGCACTTATTTGTAATAACCATATGAGAGCGAAAGTCTGTTCTCTTTCTACAGGAACCACCTCAATTTTCTTTATGCAGCTAATGAATATTCAGATCCTATTATAGGAGTCAGGTTTTATTTATCACAGGCCTTTTCAGGAAAATAATGTGAAAAGCACTGATGATCAGGCAAAGTGTAGTAGTCCTTCAACCAGTCAGATTTCAGTTAAGTTATACTGCCCAACATAAGAAAAAGTAAGTTAAATTGCGCTGGATATTGGGCATGGCCTAAAGGAACATGGTTAAATGCAGTCTAAAGCTGGCCATACACCTATAGATTTTCTATAGATTTTTTTTATCAGCCTATGGTCACATGGAAAAAGTACAACAGGTTCCTCCATCTATGCAAAACTGTGTGGATGGAGGAACCTCCCACTGGGCCAAGCTTCAGTATATTGCTCTCACAATACTTGAACAATGCCTGCATCCAATCAGATTTTTCAGGTATTTTGATAGGGGCAGACTAGCAAGATACTGAAGCTTGGCCCAGTGGGAGATTCCTCCATCCACACAGTTTAGCGTAGATGGAGGAATCTGTTGCACTTTTTCCATGTGACCATAGGCTGTTAAAAAAATAATCTATAGAAAATCTATAGATGTATAGCCAGCTTTAGACTGTATTCAGATATGTTCCTTTAGCTTAAGCCTACTCCCAGTACAAACTTCATACATATGCCACAGTACTTGTATCCATGAAACACTCAATATCTACTGTACCACAAGTGAGAGTTTCACAGACAGACCTAAATCTAAAATATCATCCTTAATAAATAACACAGAATATGGACAAAGAGTTTTGTCTTTTTATGAGCCTACCTTAAAAAAGAACTTCATTTAAATACTGAAAATCTATTTAGCAACCGGCAACTGTTGAGATAATGAACACTTTGGTCAGGAGTCTGTAATGTACAATGGTAAGCACTTTTTTTTTTTATGTACACCACTATCTCATAGTGCCTCGTATATATATTGCTGGTCAGCAGGAGGAAAAGAAAGCTGGTGTCTGGGCTCAATGGAAGGAAAAAATGGCCGGTGTTGATAGTCAGCAGGAGAAAAAATGCCCAGTGTTGGTGGTCAGGGGTGGGGGGAATGCCCAGTATGTGTAGTCAGTGGGAGGAAAAAAAGTCAGTGTTGGTGGTTAATGGGGGGAAGAAAATGCTTGGTGTTGGAGGTCAACAGAAGAAAAAAATGCTAAAAAGTTGGTGGAAAAGGGGGCACTGGTGCTCTGTTGGGGAGAAAGCAGTGTGAATCTGTGAGGGAAAACGGTGGGGGTTAATATTCTGGTGCATTGTTGGTAAGTGATACATTTAGCCTTCAGAGAGTCTAAGGGTGACAAAGACATGTCAAAAGGTGTAATTATGAAAAACAGACTGACTAAGCCTTGTGAAACACTTTGATGGGAAAACGTAACTATTAGCTGCATTTTGAAAGTACTCATACTTATTTCATTTGGTAATGATCTTATTGTCTAGACAACAATTTCATAGCACAATTGTTAAATAAATTGTAGCCATTTTAATTTTTTGTCACTCATATGATCATTTTCTTATGTTATCATTTAATTACCTTCTTTTTATAACAATAAAACACTTACAAATCCATTGGAAAATAAAACTTCTTTAGTACATTACAACTGTCCTGTTCTCAGTGATACATCATTTTATTGCCCTCCTTTAGAAGGTTCTTTATTTTCTTACATTTTAAAATAGGTTTTGCTTTTTAAGTAGTTTCATGGTGATGACACCAACATGTTTTCACAAAAATTGAACATATATTCTCCAAAGATTAAGTCATACATACATTTGAAAACACAGACTTAGAGGAAAAAGGGGACATTGGGGAGTTCTCTAGGCAACACGAAAACCCACATTTCGTTAGCATTCCTAAAAAAACATTTCCAGCCTTTGTAACTTCTACTGAAGTTGAAATATGCTCAGCATCACCTCAAAGGTGTCCACGCTGGGTATAACTACAATACCATGCTTATTCTTTATTGTTCATTAGGTACCTCTGTTTTCCATGGCTTCACTACATTGGAAGTCTTCGGCAAAATAGTCCCCACTATTATGTTTAACCAATAAGAGTTTTGCATTCACCGATTGTGTAGGTGCTTAAGTTGTAGCAGTGCTCCAGTTCGAGAAAGCGTCTTACATACATAGCAGCATTAATCTCTTGTTGTGGCTTTTCCTAAAGTGGCAGCTACTTTGCTGGGAGGAAAGGAGTAATAGGAATGGAAATCACTCACTTTTCTTTTTCTTTTCAGTTTCTTTCCTGTTATCTCCTTCATTCACCATGGCTTCACTGCGTTATAAGTACTAGGCAAAATAGTCTCAACTTGATGGCAGTAAACTCATTCTTATATCTAGGAGTTTTTCACTCGCCAAATGTGTAGGTGCTTAAGTTGTAGCAGTGCTCCAGTTTGAGCAAGCATCTTACATACATAGCAGCATTAATCACTTGTTGTGGTTCTTCCTATAGCTACTTTGCTGGGAGAGAAGGAGTGATGGGCATGGAAGTCACTCGTTGTTGATTTTTCCTTTTTTTGTTTCCACTTTCTTCCTTGTTACGATTTCTGTTCTTTTTTTCTTTTCCTTGGTTTTCTTTCTTGGGTTTTCCTGTAACTACTGCAAAAAGTAAATAGGTATTGCATCAGGATTTGTGTATATAAACATACAAGTGTACAGTTATAATATGACATTGAAGCTGAACTGTAGCCCTGTGATGCAGGTAGAATATAATTTTTTCTGAAACACTCATCCCCATTTTACTTTGTTACCTTTTACTAGCTTCAGTTGCTTTTTGAAAAGACCCTGCCACCAACTTAAAATAAATGCACAGAAAAAGTATTTTAAATGCTTACTTGTAGTGTTTTTTTCTTTCTATAAATTATTTTTTATTCATTTGCAATATGCCTTTGAACTTGCTACAAAATCTAGGGATAGTCAATTCCCTAGCACAGCCCTCTGCCTCCTTGCCCATCATAGCCCTCTACTCTTTTCAGAGTGTCTAATTACTCTCTGTGCTGGCCCAGATCTTTCGATTCTCCTTATATAATTTTTTATGTAGCTGCCGGGGAGGAACGAAAGGGAATACTCTAGAGTGTCAATTGAGTGACAGCTCTGAGACTGCTAGGGCTGCTCACATCAGATCCAAAGTGATGGTGCCCAACAGCAGTCTCAGGGCTTTTGGCCTAGCTCCTATGGTAACAGTCTTGTGCCTTCCCTCAGTGGACTGGCCAGCCATAGTATCATAAAACCATACAAGGCTCACTGATGCTGAAAAATGCAGTCTTCCCTGTTTGTATGTTTAGACCTTAAAATGCAAAATTTCTTCCAACTTGTGATAGCTAGACATGTAAGCCAGCAAAAAGTTTTCTCGTTTTTCGGGTTGTGTGTCTGAAAGTCAATTCGTTTCGGGATTCTGATTTGGACGAATTTGAAATTTGTGTTAATTTTGGAGAATTTAAATGATATTTACGAACATGGTGTTGTGTGTTTATTTACAATGTAATGCTTATTTGGTGAATGAGTAGGGGTAACAACTACCCCTTACTCATTCAAGAGTGGAGAAGGCTGTATCTGGGTGCCCCTTTATGAAAGGGGGCACTCAGATACAGATAAGCCCCCCTGCCTGCAGACCCCCACAACTACCCGCTTAGGGTTGTGGGAAAGAGGTCCTTGTCCTCATCGATATGGGCACAGGGTGCTTTGCCAGAGTGTCCCCACCTAAAATTCCTAAAATTCCTACCAGACCTAAAGGGTCTGGAATGAATTGGGGAGGGGAGTCCACGCTATTTTTTTAAAGTTTATATAATGTTTAACCACAAAAGTTAATTCTGAATGACATTCTGAAAATATTTCGGATGCATCCCAATTTCGTTATTGGAAAATTTGAATATTCAAATTCATTATTTCTGTTGTGCGGAAATTCAAATGCATCCCAATGTCCAAATTTGCTGATATTTGTCCGCATTTCAATTCCGAACAAAATGAATTACACATGTCTAATGATAGCTGTTTGGTTTTATGTGTACAATACTAAAGTAGGTGAGCTGTAAGTACCCAGTAAACTGTTCCATCGACATAATTCCACATACAGTGAAGGGATAGAAACAATAATTACACCAGATGTTCAAAAGTGATTCAACTGAGGGTTGGGCAATACAAGAAACAGAGCGCTACAAAACAGAAAAAAACTAAGGGCAGCTTGCAGCTCGAAGAGCTGCCAAAGCTGGCGTACTGGCAAACTGGCCTGAATATTCAATTTGTAAAACTTAAAGAACATATAATCAGAGGACCAGGTAGGGTTGCCACCTGTCCAGGATTCACACGGACAGTCCGGGTTTTGAATGCTGTGTTCGGGTTTCATGGCAGCAGAAACCCAGACGCAAGATGTCAGGCAGACTGGGGCAACCAAAATTAAGATTGGGGCTACTGGCCCCCCACTAAAAACAGTCTCAACTGTGATATTTACATAAGAATGGGTGGTGCTAGTTACATATGAATAAGCCATGACTCATTCTCCCCAAAAAAATGTCCGCTCGTCGCTAGAGTGTTCGGGTTTCACTTGAAAAAGGTGGCAACCCTAGGACCAGGTGGCAGCCTTGCATATCTGGGAAACAGTTGCCTGATGCCTACAAAACTAAGGGGCACTCACTAACCTTGTAAAATGTTCCTTGACAGAAAAAGGTTTTATATTTAAGACCATAAACTTGAGTAATGATCTGTCTGAGCCACCGAGAAATGGTGGAACAAAAAGCTGGCTCCCTTTTATGGGGACCACGAGGAATAGAAAGAGAGTACTCTATTTAATAAAAGAAGTGGCTGAGAGGTAAATGTGCACAGCATGAAATACATGCAGGCAGTGAAGGGAAACGTCCTGCCTGCCAGTGTTAGTTGTATTCTCCCTCCTCCGGCCTCTTCCCCTTTCCATTCACATAAACATGTACTCTCATCCAACCCAAGAGTACAGGTTTATGGATTATTTTGCAGGACATTAAAGACTCTTTAGTCCATGGGGGATAGGAACGTACCCTTTCTAGAAAAACAAAACTACCATTCCGTCTACACTCTCCTAAAAATCAGCGAGTACCAACAGAGTCCATGATTATCTCTTCAAGCACCAGTAATGATTTGTTTTCCAGGCAATATTTTTCAAACTGAGCAGGATATACAGGGGCAATGACACAGTACTGTGTCCGAAAGAGCTTACAACCTAAAGAAAACGTTGGTTCTAATATATATTAAAACACAAAGAGGGGAATTTATCAAAACTGGAGCAGACAAAATCTGGAGCAGTTGCCTAGAGCAACCAATCAGCTCCTCTCTTCAGTTTGTTCACTTAAGATTTGAAAATGAAAGAGAGAAGCTGATTGGTCGCCATGCAGAGCTGCTCCAGATTTTGTCCGCTCCAGTTTTAATAAATTCCACCTAAAGTGTTCAAAGGGAAGTGACACTTTATTAATATCATGCAGTTAGCAGCACATGGGATGTACAGCCATGGTGCTAGATTCGTAACAGCCATATATACAGGTGTTCACAGTGGGTAATTGGTCACCAAGCATCTTTTGCACTACTTTGCATGTGTGTGTGTCATAAATGCTCTTCACTCTGGCTTTATTAAATTGTGTTTGTGACCACTGGCCTTACCACATTAAATTACAGTAGCCTGGAATGTAAACCCAGCCACAGCCATTGCATGAGTTTCTATTATCCTTTTTATACAGAGCATTCTGCTTAGTAAATTATATCCGTACCATACCAGAGTCTTACGGGAAAAGTATCCCTTCAGTTCCTTAAATGGCATTGGCTCAGGGGCCCCATGGGGATCCAATTGCATAACAATTCTTTTATTTATGTCCCATGTAAGTAGATGCTGTTAAGAACGATCTTTTTTATACCTTCCATAAAACAGACCCAGCAAATTCTAGTTTATGTAACACATTAGTTGCTGGGAAGCTTAGACTTATGTTTTAATAAAGGAGAACTCTTTCCTGCACATGAACACAGACTGCTATCGTTCAACCTAACATTAAAATAGAGTTCAGATCTGTGCCACCCAACAGAAACTCATCTTCACTGTTTTCAGTGGCAGAGTTGGATTGAAGCAACTTTGTCATTAGATTAAAAAACGTAAAAAGAAAGGCCTCCCTGTAACGAAAATAATTAATACCTATACTAACAATTTTCACTTTTCTGAAAAACTAAGTTTGCGGAAGAATCTTTTGGATCTGTCACACCTCGGGGTGTGTTGGGTTTCTGGTTCCTCTGCTGCCCTCTGTGGTTCCTATCACTGCTTCTACCTCACTTCTGTTTCTTGTAGCACAGTAGGGACCAGCAGAAGAAACTACAGCACAAAGAGGAGCACCGGAAATGCAACACTCCCAAAATCTTACTAAAAAAATAAAACAAATGAAAAGAGCACCATGAAATATCATCAGTAAAACTTTGTTAAATAAAAGTGACAAGTACTCACAAGTGATCTTGATAACAATGCTTGTCACATAAAAACCGTACAGAGATAATAACTGACTCAAATGTCTGTAAGTGGGAGCTTTCCTGTTGCCTGCCCCACATAGTAACTGTTAGCTGCTATCTTCAGCCTGGGTCCTAGATGACACAATTTTAAGGATGGGCCCATTCGAGGGCTCAGCATTTCCTAAGAAGCATGTTATATTGATGCTCGAGTACAAGATTCTTCACAGAACGTGGGTGTTGAGAAGGAGCAGGCATATCATAGATAGATTTGTTTCTGCAGTTTTTCTCCCTCTGTTGATGTTTTGCAGCTCTAAAACTTGAGGTTTTGTTTTGGAGATAGCATCCGGGGGTCCAGCCAAGTTTGTACGGGAAGAATGTAAGCTGGCCCCTTTTAATTAATGCCCTTTTAACAAATGATACGTTATCAGACTAAACCAGAGTCTAGAAGTTCACTCCAGAGAAATTCCTGGAGTGGAAAGGTATCGTAAACAGAAGTCCACTTTTGTAAGCTAAGCCACTAAGACGCCTGTGGCACAGTATGAATTCACTTGAGCCTACAAAGTAGAGGGCAGACAGCTGCACGCACTGCACTTTTATCATCACTCTTGGCCCCTACAGAATGCTATGGGAATCTAACACATCTTAGCGGTGAAACTTTCATTGCGGCTGCATATTTTGATTGAGTTTGGTACAACAAATCTAATAGCCAATCAGAAAATAACATTCTCTGCCAGCTTTGCTGTCTGGAGGATTCCCAAGTTTCAGTGGCTACAATTTTAAATAATCTAAACATATCAGGGGTGAATAAGAACATGAAAGTCTTATTTTTTTTCTAATCTGGTTTACAGTAATACTTTTTTTTTTCCACTTGAAAGACTTTGCATTCCTACTTGTAAACAAAGGTCAGATTGTATAAGGCATAAATGTGAATAATTATCTATTTCATGCCTACTAACATTTCACACTGAACAGACGACATCTGAGATTTGAGTAAAAGCGCTTTGACATCTGTTCCAAGAACATTTACTAAACTACAAACACATTTCCTGAAAGAAAAAATAACATAAAAGCACATCCCATGCACTCATTACTTCAGTTTTTCATACAGGGGCTGCTGTAGTGCACCAGTCCACCTCAGTCTCTTTTCTTGGATATCTGCGGATCTGAGAACCCCTGCTTCTGGTTCTGGAGAACTATTCCCAAACCCATTTTTGCATCCTCCTTGCTGTCACCTCTACGCAGAACTGCACTACTACTACTACTACTATAAAGAGAGCCTTGTTTAAAAAAAAAATGTTATGACTATGATGTTCTCTCATCCACCAATCAGATCAAACCTGTTTTGGAAGTATAAGGGCTCCAGCACAGCTGCTGCCCATAATTAGGAGCAACTGCAGGCATATTTGCTTACAGTGTAAAATACACCTGTATTTGTAGACCTCATGTGCCACAGCTCCTGCCTTTTTCTGTCCATATGAATGTATGCACATAAAACTCTGCCTTGGTGTGGACTGTAAATGCTGGTACCGGGGTCCAGCGCTCTCTTTCGACTTCCAAGTAATAAAAACTAACAGTGGGTCTAACCCTTCCCCACTCTATCCAAATCTAAAGAAAAAAAGTTTTGTGTATATGTACACTTCAAAGCCATAGTTCTCAACTGGTGGGTTCAGTGGGTCACCGCATGCCTTCCACCGTGCTAGGTGAGAGGCTCCTGAGCCTCCCCCTAGTGCAGCACTGTCAGTTTTCACGCAGAGTGGCCATTAAAATATGTTGCCCGGCGCCGAGCTTACAGGTCCCTCACGTGTCCTGTAGAGGTACCTGGACCAGAGTGACGTCATATTTTGGCGCACAAGGGAGCTGTACAAGCAATGCACATATGGATGGAGCTCTGTCAAAGCACAGCAGCCCACACTGGACTCCAGGCTGAGGATCCACTCCAGTTCTCCTAAGGTAGGGAGACTGGGTGGATCTTATTTTTTTTTAAATAACATTTTTTTTGCGAGTGTGTATGTGTGTATAAGAATGTCTGCGAGTGTGTGAGATTGTGTCTGTGGTTGTCTCTCAGTGTTTTTGAGGGCCATTTCCCAGTGCAGTGCGCTAATCGCACAGTCCTGTGTGATTAACACACCTACCACACATTCTGTGGTGGGAGGTTGCTCTGTGTCCCAGCGGGGAGGAGAGAAAGTGACAGCCGGTCGAGCGCTGCGGGAGGAGAGTGCTGTGTTTGTGGTTTTTTTTTGGGGGGGGGGGGGCCCAAAATAATCTTGCACCAGGGCCCTTTGTTCCTTAGCTCCGCCACTGCTCCCACCCACAGCTCAGTCACCCGCATCGGAAAGCGCAGTACCGTAATGCAGTGCGTACCAGTGTGGTGCAACTTGGGTCGAGACTTAATGATCAAGGACAAATGTGGGTCCTGAGGTTACACAGGTTGAGAACCGCTGCTTTAAAGGATATGTGCACTTTAAAACAAAGTGCACCTACCCTTTTAACCCCTTTAAGATTAAATCACCAATCCCTCACTCCCCTGCACAGATGCATATTACCAAATTCTAATGGGCCCAGCCTCCATTGTTTGTTTACATCCTGTCACTGATATCTACTTCTCTTGGCCGCACCTGCAGATCTACCACCATCTCCTGGTTGGAAGACAAGTCCCATAGAAGTCAATGGGGATGTACTGTGCAGACAAGGCCAGAAGAGGGAGAAGTCCACCGCAGGGATATACAAAAAAAACGGAGGCTGGGCCCGTCTGAACTTGTAAGGAACGATCTATGCAGGGAGAGGGTGGGATCGATTAGATTTGTTTTAAAGAGGACTTACCCTTTAAGCCATTTTTCTATCTATAACAATCTTTAACCTTATGTTGTTGCTTTTCAGCCAGCATTCTAAATATACCAGGCACTGTCCTGATCTATGTAACAGTTCCCTTGGGTTGTAGTGGTGATTCTGACACTTCTGGTCCCACCATGGTTTAGCGCCTAAAAGGTGTGCCCATTCCTCCCCCAATTGACCCCATATTAACTCCCCATGGCACGCCTATTGAATGTTTTCCAAAAAAAGCTCTCCTCCCAGTGTCTTGTAACTAAAGCACATTTTACAAACATGAGCCTTTGCAGCAATTCCTCCCTTAAAACAGCAGTGACATATGATGGTTGACAGCTTAGGTTCACCTTCTCAGTGCTGTGCTATGTTCACTGATATTGTAAGTTGTTTAGAAGCTGAGTAGGTCATATTTGGCAATGGGTTGTGTAAACATAGGCAAAGAGTTGTTTTAGGGCCCATTCACACCAGCAGCTGCGCTACAATGCACAGCTGCTGGTGTGCATTGCCCGCCACGCTACTGGTGCACCGATCCCTCCAGATCTCCCTGTTTACTTTTTTGAAATGTCACAAGTTACATTTCATTAGGTTCTATGGGTACAGCATGTTGTGAGGCGGTTGTACCACCCTTTAACAGGCAACTTTGAGCTACTTCTCATAATTCTATTATATAATCTACCGATGTTGACACTGCCTTAGAATCCCAATGACATGGCATAAATTGACAGCAAGATGTTTTAATATTTATTCTATCTCTGTTTCATACTTTCAGATTGCTGATATATGAATATTGCATAATCAAGTGGACTGGGGCCAGAATGTGGGATGTTTTGTATCCTGCAGTTTGTTTTCTCTAAGTGGATATTACTTAATTCATGCAGGATGTGTTTCAACAGGAATAGATGAACAGTTATAGGGTTTTTTTTTGCTCTTTATGTCTCATTGGAGGATTTCCCTTCACTTATTGTCCTGTAGACACATCAGGAAATCTTTCCAAAATGAGGCAAATGCACTCTTAGACAGTTGTCACTGAAACAATTGCCCCCATTGGAAGTTTTCCCCCCTTTATTCCTGTTCTGGTGACAAGTCCACATTTTGGATTTTTCTTCACTTTCAGTCCCAGTGACAGTGGTCACCAGGACTAATAGATACAGTAATTCAAATGTGAAGCCCTCAGTACTCTATCCAAACAAAAGTATGGACTTTCATACATTATTGATATTTAAAATAGTATAGTATTTTTGGTATTTGACCTTCATCCCCCTTGATTAAAAAATCTGCCCTTCCAAACAGCTATTCACTATAATGACGGTTGCTTGCAATTGATGTAGTGTTTGATTTACTGCCTGTGCACCTTTTGATAGAAAATGGAAATGATATAAGATCAGTAACACGAGATTTACAGTTTGTAATCAGCATACATTTGCACATACAGTACACAGCAATGCTCCATCTGTGTGGTCAGCAGGGAAGACATAAAACATTCAGAGTTAATAGAAGACCTCTAACAGAGAGCATTTGTGCACTTTGATTTTTAATGAGATCATCTACCAACCTTTTGGACAGGGGGTTTGGAGCATTGTGCATTTCCTCCTTTCTTTATTGACAGGGCACAGGGATGCTTCCCCCAGTGGTGCTATTAGAACTTTCCGACTTCTCGTTTGTGTGCCTTTCTTTTTCCAGCACTGTTTTGCCGGACGAAAACATTGACTCCAAGATCCCCACTCACTCATTTCACATTGTTCTGAAACACAACAAACAGGAAACTACATTTATATCTTATGAAACTGCACTTAAGAATTTACATAAAATTATATAATATCTTTTAGTATAATACAGTATATCATATAAAATAAATGTATAAAACTGGCATTTTTCTTGTACTGAAGTCAGCAAAAGAGTAAATTGGGCCAAGGGAAAATGTGGACCTTAATATGGACCTATCAGCATTGTTCCTGGATAAATTCCTGACATGTCAAAATAAACAGCGGGTGTATAATGCTACAAAAACATGTACCTTTTATAACTATAAACAGCTCTAAGCCTTCATTCACAACTAGTGTTTTGTAGCGCTTTTTCTGTCCTAAAAAATGCTCAAAAAGATAAACACCCATAACAAAATCACATTCACTTCTATGGACATGTTCACATCTGGGCATTTTGTCACTTGCAGCAAAATTCCAGTTGCTGGAAAAAAGTACATGATCTTCTTTTTGGCAGATTAGGCACTTCTTGGCCCCATAGGCTTAAAAATGCTTGTTTGTTGCATTTTTGTGTGCTTTTACCCATTTACATCAATGCATTACAATCTGCTCGCAAAAACGTGTGACTTAATATATGTGCACAAAATGTGCAAAACCGTGCGGCGAAAACACACATAGAAATGAGTGAAAATGCTGTTGCAGCTTAAAACCTATCAAAGTGAGCATGCCTAGGTTGGCAGGAGGAATTGGAGAGAGCCAAGTAATTAGTCTTCTGCTGCAGGCAGAAGGAAGCATTTGCTTAGTCTACTCCCCCTAATCATCTCTCAGGCTGGAACATTGTATCCTTATAACAAGAGACAGGATAAGAGATAGCAGTAGGGGGCTGGTTTATGTGACACATTTGTACACACAGGGCATACAATTATGGCTCTAGGATTGATATGATTGTGACTTTTAGGGGAAGGGCTGTGTGCGTTTTCACCAGGGCTGTGTGCAGTCTCACCAGAGATGTGCAGGGTGTTACCAGGGCTGTGTGGTATCACCAGGGCTGTGCGTGTTCTCACCAGGGCTGTGCGGTCTCACCAGGGTTGTGCAGGTCACACCGGGGCTGTGCAGTGTCACCAGGGCTGTGTGTGGGTTTCACCTTGGCAGTGTGGTCTCAATAGGGCTGCATGCAGTCTCATCAGGGCTGTGTGCGGGTCTCACCAGGCAGCATGCAATCTCACCAGGGCTGAGTGCAGCATCTCACCAGGTCTGGGTGTGTGTCTCACCAGGGCTGTGTGTGGTCTCACCAGGGCTGTACGGTCTCACCAGGGCTGTACGGTCTCACCAGGGCAGTGTGCGGTCTCACCAGGGCTTGGTGCAGGTCTCCCCAGTGTTGTGCGGGCAGTGGGCTCTCATGTGCGGCCGGGTCCAGGCTCTCATGTGCGGCCGAGTGCAGGAAGGAGGAGGAAAAGATGTGCGGACCAGCGCTGTGTAAACAGTTGCCTTGAGGTCCCCAGCAAGCGCGGCTGACTCTATTTGAAAATGGAAAGCGCTGGTATCAACCTTAGTATCAGTGCATTTTCCCAGTATCAGCACCGATACCAATACTGGTATCGGTATTTATTACTTCCCATGTGCCCCTTTTTTGGCAACAGGTCAAAATTAATTTGTTCTATTAAAAAAAGTACACACTGAAAAATCTGTTCACTCTTGAGCTTGAGCATCTACAAGCATGTTGAAAGAGTTTTTCATGCTTGAAAATGCACAATCAAGCTCCAAAAAAGCTCCTGGACTTCTTTGCTGCGACAAGCAGCAGGAGAGTGCTCAAGTGTCAACTGCCCCATAGTATACAGTGGGCATCCTCATGTTGAGAATTGAAGCACTTCTAGCAGAGCAAATTGCTCAGATGTGAACCAGGGTTTAGTGCAAACAATTTCTGCAAACACATTTGTTAAATATTGATCAGCTCCAGCCTGACTTCCAAAAGAAATGTCACTGTACCATAACAGAACAATAACACCAGTTGCTGAACACTTTTCCATTTCAATTGTATTTCAAAAAGACATTTTTAGAAACCCTGCATCATGTGCCACCACCATAAAGGTATGTGGACCTTCTCTGTCTAATCTGGGGCACCTGTATAATTTACCTGTTTATTATTTTAATAATCCATATAATTTTTTCCTACTTTCCAACTCAGGAAAAAAAAAGTATATAGCGATGAGACTCCAAGACCAGGGAATCAGGAGTCCCTAAACTCAAAGCACAGTATCTGCTATTACAAGGTTAACACGTGAATAGAATGACCTTTGATCCCTGTTATCTGACCAGACCCAGCAGGAGCTGAAATGGAATGGAAATGGAATGAAGGTACACAATACTACACAGCAAAGCCAGGCTGTTTGTCATGGACTAATATTCTCTCTTCTGCTTGGAATAGTTACTTACTTCTTCAGGTACCCAAAGCTAATACGTTTCTCTTTTAAACCTTTTTTTCTTGATTTACATTATTGCTTTCTTTTTTTTTTCTGCTTTCATTGAACTTGGCCACAAATGCAAGGTTAGAATTAATACTGTATATTACAAGTGTCAGGGCCAGCAATAACATCCCCCAGAAATAACCTCTAGTATGTTTAGGGGCAGCAATGATAAGCCCCAGCAAGTGTCATGAGGAGCAATGATAATCCCTAGCAATAACTCCCAGTAAGTGCCAGGGTCAGAAACACTAACCCCCAGAAATAACCCCCAGCAAGTGCCAGAGCAAGCAATAGCCCCTAAGCAGCACAATAGCTCCCAGCAATACCCCCAGCCAGCACAATAACTCCCAGTCATTACAATAACTTCTATTCAGCACAGAAACTTCCAGTTAGCACAATAACCTCCAGTCAGCACAATTACTTTATCTCCCAGTGGGACCAGAACAAGAAATACAAGTCACCAATAAAAGCAATACAAATCTGATATAGGTTATAAGTCTGCCCAGTCAAAGCAAAGCTAATTTGCATGCATTAGGCTTTAAGACAGGCCTGCCTTATATAAATCTAATGTAAGGTGATGACATTTAGCTAATTTCATACACTTTTCATAAAGGTGAACACTTACCGGAGCTGCATTCCATGGTGCCATTTGCTGCAATAAATCCCTCTGGACAAGTGGAATAACAAACTCCTTTATGTAAGTAGAAGCCATCATTACACTTTGTGCAAAAATTCCTGCTGAAACAGTTCTCACAGTTTGTCACTCTACATTCTGGAGAATAAAAAAAAAAGAAAAATATCTGTTTTAAAGGTGTCATGTACTGTATACTATGCTATAAATTCTAATAAAAAAACGTGTGACTGAGGTCAAGTTATATAGCCATAGCAATAAAAATGTAAGTGCAATATATAACAAAATGTATTATATTGCAGCTTATCCATCCTTAGATGTGATGGTTGCATTAGTTTCTTTTTTTAGGCTTTTGTTAATTTTCAGCTGATAACACTTCCAATTCTGGAAGTAGCAAAACTCACTTATACTACTGTATCCGTGGAGAAGCAGTGTTATCACCCTAGACTGCTTGTTCCAGATTTGGAGTATAGAACACCTACTCCTTTCCCCGTTTTAATAAGCAGGGTTCTGTAGTTCAGAGATAATAAGTTGGCAGGACTGGTACAACTGCTTCAGATTTTAGTGCAGCAGAGGCACAGGAATTTAGAAGATCATTGGATTTCTGTGCTAAAAAGTATCCCTTTCTTATCATGTAGGATAATACTATTATTCAGAAAGTGTCATGCCGGAAGCCCCAATTACTCTAATGGATAGGTTTGTAGAATGCATATAACATGTAGGTAGACTTACTTGTGCACTTGTTTATCTCCCGACTACGATCACCATAATATCCTGGAGGACAGGACTGCAAGCAGACTCCTATCTGTCGAATATCATTCCTTTCCAAAAGTATGAAAAGCCTTGGTAAGCACTTAATACAGCCGTTTACCTCTGAACATGCTTCACAACCTTTGCCACAGCCTTGGCTCACCTCTGTACTTCCTGTAAATAAACAGCAGTTTGGGAAAACAATTTATTAACAAATAATTTAATACTTTAGAAAAAAATACAAATTTCCTCACATCCGAACTCGAACTGGTCCAGCTGAAAGATGTATTATCTATTTTTAAACGCTCCGCATGGTACCTCTTAGCCAAGTCTGAGGGCTCCCTGGGCAAACTTGATGTAATATGACTCCACACACACGAAAACCACCTTTAGGACCTCCTAGATGGCGACTTTTACAAAATATTACTCTTTATTATGCCCTTTCACTTTACATCTACTCCGTTATCTTTTCCAATCCATAAGTCCCATGCAGTTACTGCAGAACACCCCAAATCAACTCCTTCCCAATGTTCTTCACATTATGACCCATATAGTTGTTTACATTTAGTTTGTTACCCCTTGTTCTTTGGGAACTACTACGATTCTCACACAACTTGAAAAAGAGATCATGCCTTTATGTTGTTTGTATTAAAGAAACTTTTGATGCCTTTCAGATGCCTTGCAATATTACTACAGATCTGCTGCAGAGCACATATTCATAAGATTGTTTGATATTACAGTAATGTCAATGTATCAATGTTTTTTTACATAGTTTTAATGAAAAATAATAATCCTTTCTGGTGGAAAACCCTTTAGTATTCACCTAATCAGTATATTCTTTGTTGTTTCAAGTGATCATCTTCAGGCAAGGAACATTTGAAACAATTATATCTACGATAATATTTTATTGTAATGTATACAGCATAATTGGGTCTAAAGAAGGCAAAATAACACTAAACATGTAGGATTCCTCATGTTTGTATTTTGTATTGGCCAGGTAACAGTTTTACTTCAACACTCCCCCAAAGTGCACTTAATTTTCTTGATCGGGAAAAAAACAAGCTTACGATCCTTTACTTTTGTAACACTCAACACCACATCACTCTAAATAAACAGAGTGAAATTGTTGCAGCAAATGTAGCTCAAAATGCTAAAAATAAGGCACAGGTACCATATATAATATTAGGTGGTCACCTTTCTTGCTCCTGGGCATTTGCCTGCTGGGTCAGTAATAATAAGAAAAGATGAGTAGGTGGTCCAGAGATACTTCACTATTAAGACATCAATCAGAGCAGGACCCACAGTCAATGATACATGCTGGGCATTATATACCGTAGCTCTCTGCTCCCCATTCAGACTTGCTGTCACAGCTTCTGACAGAGGTATGCCTTGAAAAAACAACTTCCTTTTCAGCTTAGAGATGTCATGATTGCATAAACCACAAAGGAAGCTAATATTAGAAGATGTGAAAAGATGTGTCACAATAAACCATGCGATTTAGGAACACCTACCTTTCACCATGCCACCAATCATTTTGGCACAATAGCACACTTTGCATACTACACTTTCTTTTAGCATGCAGAAATCTGTCCCTACCACAAAAGGGCTAGTTGGTTGTGTCTGCCCCCCAGGCAAACAGTTTCCAGCCATACCCTGCTCACACTGGTTGCACATTACTTAGTATTTCTTTCTGGAATACAGCTGCACACACAAATAATATTTACAGTAGATAATCAGCTGTTACTTAGGTCATAGGATAAGTAAGGAAGGATAATATTTTTTGCTTTAGTAGTTCATACTGTCCGAGTTTTTCTACTCAGTCCTGTACAAATGGTAAAGTCTAAGTTCTGCACACAGAACATTTCCTTTTGGCCCACCATTGCAAAACTCAGACAACAATCACAACACACTGTGCCCCATGATGTCCAGTCCATCAACAGACATTCCAAACTCCAAAGATCAAATTTAGTGCCTACTGATCTCTGACTGTATATGTGGCATTGTTTGGCCAGGTGGGAATTCTGGATTTCCTATTATTGGTGTCATAGGGTCCACATAGGAGGTGAGTGAGTGTAATTTAATGAGCGAGTCCTATGCTCCTAAAAATTAGAGGGAGGCAGAAGGGGAAGACTTTGTGCTGGGTAATAGGAGGGGTATATCCAGGGAAGAGAGGTGAAAGGGTACATGTTTGTGTTAAATATCTAGTCTAGGAGTCTTGTGAAGAGTGTTGCTTTATAATAAAGTTCTATGTGGGGTAAACCCATGCTCCTGTCCTGCTTCTGTTTATGTATGGTGGGATATAAATGTGTGGATGAGTTGGCCCAAATATATTCTAATTAAGAGAATTGTAGTGTACAGTCCAGTCCTACTGTTTGTTGGATAAGTGTCAAAAAAAGGTTTATAGTTGAGGTCAAAGTGGTGTCTGGTTGGGGGAGCAGAAGTACACCCAGATAGCTGAGGGCTTTGAACTGCCAGGAGAAATTAAAATTCTGTTGAAGGTCCAGCTAATTCCTTTTGGATAGACAAATGTTAAGAGTCTCAATCATGAGTGTTGATCTTGAAGTTACTATGGGCACCGAAGCTTGTGAATTACTGTAATAAGACTTGAAAAACAATCTTAGGGTTTCTAATATACAGAAGGAGACCATCAGCATAAAAGCTCATTTTGTATTCCTGATCTCCCACCAACAGTGGGAGATGTTACAGGTTGTTACATATTGTTATGGCCAGGTGTTCCATGGCAAGGATGTATAAGTAGGTGGACAAAGAATAGCCATGACATGTCCCATTGCATATATGTATAGGTTCTGAGAGAATATGCTGTTTATTCTGAACCTTGCTGAGAGTACTTGATAAAGTGTCAGCATTTTTGTCAGGAAACAAGTGGGGTGTTAATTTGTGAAACTGTTGTAATAAAAACAATTCCAGTTGAGGCAATCAAACAATCAAATGTCTTCTTTTCATCTACAGAGAGAAGGCATACTGGCAGGTGTGTGATCTCTTTGCTAAGTCCATTAAGGTTAACGGCTTAGTAACATTGTCCCTTGCTTCTCAGTAAAGAACAAACCCAACCAGATAGAGATGAATCAGGGAGGGGATATGGGTTTTGAGGCATTTAGCAGTAGTTTTTAGCATATATCTTAAGATGAAGATTGATCAAGGAAATGGGTCTGTAGCTGGTGCATGAGAATAGGTCCTTATTTTCTTTAGGCATGATAGATACTGTATGTGAGTATTTTGTGACTGTTTGGAGAAGGGACAGGCTGCAGCAATTCTTCAGAAAGTTGAACGTGATCTTCAGAATCGTTAAGAGATGTAACTGTAACATGTAACTGTTTGCAGAAAGAGCTTGTGAATCCATCTGGGCCAGGGCTTTTGCCTGAAAGCAATGCATAGACCTTTCCTGACGTTTCCTTTGTTGAAAAGGGTGCCGACAATGATTTAATGTCTTAGTTCAGAAGCCTGGGAAAAGCGGTGGATTGAATATATTGTTGAAGAATGGTATGGTCCTTAGCAGGATTAGGAGGAAGAGATGTTATAGGGAAGAGTAATAGTGGTGGAAGGAAGGTGCTATTTTTTCAGAAGAGTGGACCAAACCTTGTTTATTGCATTTGATTTTGGGGATGTGTGTGTACGGGGTTGCTTAGTTTTGATGGAGCTTGCCAACAGCTGATTACTTTATTAAGAAATTAATGGAGAGGTTGCAAGTCAAAGTCTGTATGGCAGGAGTATGATTGGTCTAGGAATGAATGTGATTCCCTTCATATGTTTGCAAGCTCCTAATAAACAAGAATGTAGGGGCACAAATGTACAAGGAACCAATATCCCTTTTCCTGACTGAAAAGGGTGCTACAAGGGTGATGGCTGCGACAGGGATCTCTGTGAGTTGCTGCAACCAACTGAGGTAGATTAGGGTGCTGAACTGAGGTCCACTTAGGCTATTTCTTGGTTCGGGTGCTGGAGCTCCTAAGACACACATCTACCCTGCAGCTTTTGCCAATTTATGCTCACTCACACTGTACTGTTTTATTAAACTGGCAGCTGCGGCTTGCAAGGATAGTTTACCAACAAACCTAGTGTTCAAAAATAGCATTGATTGGTTCCAAATCATTAGTAGAAACTTGAAGATACGCTCTCACAGCTTGAAACATGCACAACTTGCATTGCATGTGCATACCAGCAATTGTGCACTCGTACGTTCAATGGGCTCAATACAGAAGAGCGCCTCACTGCAGTGGTGGAGAGCACAGAAGTGCACATTGGTACAGTTGCAGTGAATACTGAGGTATGTGTCAGCGCTTCTAGAAAAAATGGTACATGCATGAATCTATAACCGGCCTTTATAGCAGGGCGAACATTGGGAAGGCTTACAACAATACAAAACACAAAAATTCCCCAGCCTCAGCCTGCCAGCCAGCCTGCAACCAAACAAGTAGCCCTGTCAACAGTATGCGTTAAAATCAGAGGTTTTAGTTGCACAAACTTTTGGCCAAAAATATGTAGAAGCCACACTGCCGCGCCAAGGCACCTCTGCAAAGTGTGGTCCTAACTCTATGTATCCGAGTCTCCAAGTGTGAGCATATTAAGGAAGT